ATGCTTGTCTCTTTCTGATTCTAAGTATAAGTGTCTTTTTTGCTCCCATTTTCCTTTAAAACTTCCTCATTGCTCACATGCTCTAACCATGGTATTCTTAGCCTTCTTCTGTAGAACCACATCTCTGGTGCTTGTCTCTTTCTGATTCTAATTATAAGTGTCTTTTTTGCTTCCATTTTCCTTTAAAAATTCCTCATTGCTCACATGCTCTATCCATGGTATTCTTAGCCTTCTTCTGTAGAACCACATCTCTGGTGCTTGTCTCTTTCTGATTCTAATTATAAGTGTCTTTTTTGCTTCCATTTTCCTTTAAAAATTCCTCATTGCTCACATGCTCTATCCATGGTATTCTTAGCCTTCTTCTGTAGAACCACATCTCTGGTGCTTGTCTCTTTCTGATTCTAATTATAAGTGTCTTTTTTGCTTCCATTTTTTCCTTTAAAATTCCTCATTGCTCACATGCTCTATCCATGGTATTCTTAGCCTTCTTCTGTAGAACCACATCTCTGGTGCTTGTCTCTTTCTGATTCTAATTATAAGTGTCTTTTTTTGCTTCCATTTTCCTTTAAAAATTCCTCATTGCTCACATGCTCCATCCATGGTATTCTTAGCCTTCTTCTGTAGAACCACATCTCTGATGCTTGTCTCTTTCTGATTCTAATCATAAGTGTCTTTTTTGCTTCCATTTTCCTTTAAAAATTCCTCATTGCTCACATGCTCCATCCATGGTATTCTTAGCCTTCTTCTGTAGAACCACATCTCTGATGCTTGTCTCTTTCTGATTCTAAGTATAAGTGTCTTTTTTGCTCCCATTTTCCTTTAAAACTTCCTCATTGCTCACATACTCCATCCATGGTATTCTTAGCCTTCTTATGTAGAACCACATCTCTGATGCTTGTCTCTTTCTGATTCTAAGTATAAGTGTCTTTTTTGCTTCCATTTTCCTTTAAAACTTCCTCATTGTTCACATACTCCATCCATGGTATTCTTAGCCTTCTTATGTAGAACCACATCTCTGATGCTTGTCTCTTTCTGATTCTAATTATAAGTGTCTTTTTTTGCTTCCATTTTCCTTTTAAAACTTCCTCATTGCTCACATACTCCATCCATGGTATTCTTAGCCTTCTTCTGTAGAACCACATCTCTGATGCTTGTCTCTTTCTGATTCTAATTATAAGTGTCTTTTTTGCTTCCATTTTCCTTTAAAACTTCCTCATTGCTCACATACTCCATCCATGGTATTCTTAGCCTTCTTCTGTAGAACCACATCTCTGATGCTTGTCTCTTTCTGATTCTAAGTATAAGTGTCTTTTTTTGCTTCCATTTTCCTTTAAAACTTCCTCATTGTTCACATACTCCATCCATGGTATTCTTAGCCTTCTTCTGTAGAACCACATCTCTGATGCTTGTCTCTTTCTGATTCTAATTATAAGTGTCTTTTTTTGCTTCCATTTTCCTTTAAAACTTCCTCATTGCTCACATGCTCTATCCATGGTATTCTTAGCCTTCTTCTGTAGAACCACATCTCTGATGCTTGTCTCTTTCTGATTCTAAGTATAAGTGTCTTTTTTGCTTCCATTTTCCTTTAAAACTTCCTCATTGTTCACATACTCCATCCATGGTATTCTTAGCCTTCTTCTGTAGAACCACATCTCTGATGCTTGTCTCTTTCTGATTCTAATTATAAGTGTCTTTTTTTGCTTCCATTTTCCTTTAAAACTTCCTCATTGCTCACATGCTCTATCCATGGTATTCTTAGCCTTCTTCTGTAGAACCACATCTCTGATGCTTGTCTCTTTCTGATTCTAAGTATAAGTGTCTTTTTTGCTTCCATTTTCCTTTAAAACTTCCTCATTGCTCACATGCTATATCCATGGTATACTTAGCCTTCTTCTGTAGAACCACATCTCTGATGCTTGTCTCTTTCTGATTCTAATTATAAGTGTCTTTTTTGCTTCCATTTTCCTTTAAAACTTCCTCTTTGCTCACATGCTCCGTCCATGGTATTCTCAGCCTTCTTCTGTAGAACCACATCTCTGATGCTTGTCTCTTTCTGATTCTAAGTATAAGTGTCTTTTTTGTTTCCATTTTCCTTTAAAACTTCCTCATTCCTCACATGCTTCGTCCATTATATTCTATCATCCTTTTGTAGATACACATTTCTGTTGCCTCCTTTCTTCTCCACATCTGCCAAGAGATTGTCCAACAATCGCTGTCATATACTAGATTTCATATTACGTAGCAGTTCAACACTTTTTTGTTGTTCTTCCTAGCAAAATCTTCCTGTTTCTACGTGTTCTGATTAGATTTTGGCAAGTATCTTTTGCTATTGCAATGCCCCTTCGTATGTCGCTGTTACATTTTCCAACTTTTTCTGAAACACTAGCCACATATTTAAATGTCTGCACTTGTTTGGGCATATTCACATCTTCTACTTTTTCTCTTGTTGATAATCATACATTCCTTTTTTTTATATTAAATGATAGGCCTTTCTTTTCGCTTTCCTTTACTACCTTACCTCGGAATGGTTGGTTTTCCTTCCGTGTCTGCCACCAGACCAGTGTCATCTTCGTATGATTCTGGTCAAGCGGAACAGCAAATTTCACGCAATATTACGTCTTCGACTTGTTTACTTCTTCTGGACTGAATTAGATGCTCCCTTTAAACCTCGAAGTCCTGGAGGATTTTATTTGATGCGTTAAAGTATATTTTTGTTTGTGTCTATATCTCCAGTCACATACTTGCTAGGGGATAAACTTCCCAACCCACTTACTTCTGTTCCGTATTATGCGAATAGGCATCCGTAGACTGTGGAGTTTACTACGGTGGCTAGCTAATCCCTGTTGCCGGTCCGTGCTTAGGCACATATTTCTTCAATTCACACAGGGCCCAATTATGATTTATAGCACACCTATGCTGAGCAGACCTTAGTTTCAGTCTTTGATATAGAGGACATAATCTGTTGCGATCCACGGTTTAAACAAGGCCAGTATGCTCACTCGGCTCTGTTTTTCGATTGATTGGCTGATTTGGATTTTTTTTTTACGGTTTACCAACCTTTTACAGTTTATTTAAAGCCAGGAAAAAATTTTGTTCGGAAGAATATTTTTGCGATAATAATGATTTACGACACATATCCAACTATTTAATCCATATCTAGGGTATTTTCGCGTAAGTGAATATAACGAACCCGATTAAAATTGGAACACGGATCACAGATTCAGCTATGCATGAATGCAACTGGTGCTGGTTAATCGACGAGTCCCAGTACCGCTTCATGACATTGCTCAGTCACAGGTTACCAGAATGGAACTACAGAAGCTCACCGACACGTGGTACCAATCATTGGCACCTCCACCATATTCCCCTGATATCTTTCCCATTGATTTCGACTTTTTTTTTTTTACTATCTTGACAAAATTTTTAAGGCACAAGACATTCCATTGCAAACATGCAGAAACTGCATTCAAAGATATCTGCGTATCCAAGTTTCTAGAGTTTTATTCGCAAAGGTATAAATAACATTGTATCTCGATGATATATATATATATATATATATATATATATATATATATATATATATATATATATATATATATATATATTATTATTATTAATTAAAGAATATCAAGTAATAATTTTATTTCATGAGAGTTCTAATAGTAACATTAAAAAGACTCCTTACGAGGCTTATACGAACTACAAACCCAACGTAAGTGGTATGCATATATTTGGTACAATTTGCTACACATATATCGACCACAGGGCGAAACTAGATCCAAAAAGTGAAAGAGGCATATATGATTTATTTCCCACAAAGTAAAATAATAAGGAAGATCAGATGCGTCAGATTTACAGATTCCTTTGAGGAACCCGAAGAAAAGAATATTAACTGCGAGGAGCTTGTCCAGCACGAACTAGTATGGCCTAATTATGGGATAGGGCCTATAAGTAGAAAACCTGTTCAAAATCCACAATCAGAGGAAGGTGTTATACCAGATGATGTAGACGAGGAAAAATCAGACGCAAAACTTGAGTTAAAAAAAATTACAACATGAAAAGGCGATGGACATGTTGACTTGAATACCGTCTAATGTTAATTATGTTTTATAAATATGTCCTGAAGAAGATATACTAGACCGAAACGTCTGACGTTGACATTAAATTAACATTAAAACAGCATAATTGCATATTCAGATTTTTGTTTTTCCGTATATTTTTCTTCATATATATATATATATATATATATATATATATATATATATATATTCTGGATAGTGGACGTGACAGAGTTGGTCAGTAGTATTATGTATCTGTTTCTCTACATTCCACTTGCTAGGAGCATACGAAGTTTATCGTCATACACAGGACGGGTTTAAACTTCGATTAAGTTAAAAATAAAAAGTTGATTCTTCAACCGGACATTATTTTACGAACAACTTCATAACGATTTGACCACGTGTCCATCAAATAAGATTATAATATATACGACTAAATTTAACAAAATACACCAGACGAAGACGATGTGTCGATACCACATAACTCTAGGAAATTATGTACTTATAAAAGTGAGCAAGGCTTCACGTGTTCGATAGAAGATAAATGCACGCTCATGTGATAGCTGATCATAAATACGCCGAAAGAATATATGACAACAGATTGTCTATATTATGAAATATTATCTTCCTTTGTTCTTATTGAAATTAGGCATGAAAAAAGGGTTCAAAATACCTTTGAAGAATCTATTGAGTTTTGTCGGTTTTTCTTAATGTGCCGTTCTTTGAGATTTCTTTTCTTCTAAACGCCAACAATTCAAAATATTTCGTTCATTACGTAATACTTTAGAACGGCGTACAGTTTTGAGAGACTAATGGAGTTCTATTCGACGAAATGGTGATTAGAGGAGGTTTTTTACTTATCTTTTATTGTTTGCTTAATATTATTTTGGTGGGGGCAAATTTAAAGGGTGTTTTTATAGGGGTAATGTTTTAGCAATTTACTCCGTCTGTAAGACGATAGGTCTAAAGAAGTATTTTTATTTAAAATAGATAGATAGATATTGAACTGGCTTAGATAGATAGATAGATAGATAGATAGATAGATAGATAGATAGATAGATAGATATGAACAGACTGACATAGATGGCAGAATTTGCAACAAAATGTATAAATCAGACAGTGGATTCATTCCCTGAAATGTTCGCTTCGGGTTATGGGTACTAGTGGTGGTTTTACTCGGTTAGATAGATAGATAGAAAAAATATGGTGGGAGTGAGATAAGTAAAGTGCGAGAAAGAGAAAGCATTAGATAGATAGATAGATAGATAGATAGATAGATAGATAGATAGATAGATATGAACTGGCTGAGAGAGAGAGAAAGAGAGAATATGGTGGCAGCAGGATAAACAAAGATAGGTAAAGAAAGAAATAACAGGATTAGATAGACAGATAGATAGATAGATAGATAGATAGATAGATAGATAGATAGATAGATAGATAGATAGATAGATAGATAGATGTGAATTGCCTGAGAGAGAACATGTGAGTGAGATGAACAAAGTGAGAGAGCGAAAGAGAATTAGTCTGAGAAAGAGAGAGAGAGAGAGAGAGAGAGAGAATATGATGGGAGCGAGATGAAAAAGTGCGATAGGTAAATAGAGAGAGCGAAAGAGAATGAGATAGATAGATAGATAGATAGATAGATAGATAGATAGATAGATAGATAGATTATCAACTATTCTGCACTGCGCGCTTCGCTTTCATGATTTAGTTCACTCAAATGTTAAGCAATTTTATTCTACTTACATCTATGATAGTTTGGTAATCAGTTTGAAATGTACTGCAATTTGCCTCCAGAATCGCCGAGGCCCGACACAAAATATCTCTAAGTGATTCTAACTTCACCGCAATTCTGTAGAAACGAATAAATTCTCACAAATTCTGTGAATATTAGTCAAGAAAAAAAAAGGAATTTTTTTCTCCTCCGGTGTTTGAGTTGTTTTTTTTTTATTTTTTTTATTTTTGTTTTTTTTATTTATTTACTTGTTTATTTATTTATTTCAAGATATTTCTCCCTTTGACATGAGCGTTGTACTGACTCTTTTCCGTAATTACTACCTATGTTTCTTTTCTCTTATCTAGAACAAGGATATATGCTACTTGTATTACCTGGTGCTCCTAAACGCTCATTTGCATAATCTTCTTTAGTCTGACACAAGGCCACGAAAATAGTAAAAATAATCAATGTTTGCGATCCGGGAATAAACCTGAAAAATCAAATGATGAAAGATTAGCAGGCGTTACATGTATGTATAGATGTATATATTAGTTTGACTAACACCTGTTAGTGTTTGTAAAAAAAAAAAAAAAAAAACATAGTTGTTTTAGGAATCCAGAATATTCATCTAAGGAATACTGGTTTAAGAATATTGGTCTAAGGAACTATCGTCTAAAAATAATATACGTCCAAGAAATATTCCTCTAGAGAATTATGGTCTATTAATATACGAACAATGCATGCCAATAAATGCTTATAACACTGAAGACTAATGGGTATGTCCCAATCCTCATAAATGCGTCGGAAACAATTGTTAGTGGGGGCAATATGCTGCCTAAACTGGTAGTGTGAGCTGTCAGCGTGGGAAGGTCTTGCCGTGTCGAACACTCTGCCTTTAGGCAGAGAGGAACCCGGACGAGGCTATGCCGAAGGGCAGAGTCTCGTCCGGGGAGGTAGACAGATAACCGATCCCGCGTATGCGGGGTCTACGGGGAATTTTTGCCCGAGCCCACGGGCTCGGATTTCCCCACATTAAATTTGGCCTTGTGCCGCATCCTACCTGGTGGGGAGACAGGTAAATATCGTAATATGCTAAGATGTCCACCACTATTTCACGCCGCTGGCGTTATAAAGATTACCATTTCATTTCCAATCTCCGTTTTGGTTATTCTATATTCAGTAACCCTTTTTAGGTTACAACAAAACCACATGTATCATCAGGAAGTAATGTTGCTATAAATGAATGAATATTAAGTCTTGGGTATGACGATAAACTACATCCGCGTCCTGAGTAAGACGATAAACTACATCCAGCAGCAAGGCCTCTGATCAGGAGGTTTTGAGGAGCGTGGAACCACCTATAAATTGCTAATGTTCTCAGGTCCACCTTGACCCTGTTATGGTCCCAGCTATGGGTAAATCTATCTCAGTCTGTTTTTCTCTTTTCTCTATTTTTCTATCTCAGTTTATGCATCTCTCTCCTACCTGTTCGCTCTCTTTGTCTCTCTCGGTCTGTTTATATCTATCGATATAGCTGGTTTTAGTGAAAGAAAGAATGAAAGAAAGAGAAGAGGAATTTGCAACTTTTTTTTGTTCAACTTGAAACAAAACAAAAGATTATTTTTATATTCAGTAATAAAATTATTTAAATTTGTAGAGCTCTTTTTGAAGATTGTTTCTTTTCTTCGCTGTTCACACACTTTTTCTTCTACATATTGGTTGGGTTACAGAAGGAAAATGTGCCGTTTCCATTCAGGACGTGGAAGATCATGGCTCTCCACAACTTCCTGTCCTTTGTAACTCTTAGTAAAATTTGTCTTTTTGCCATCTCCCCTTATCTCTTTTCTTCCAACCATTTATACACTCTCGTTATATAGGTTATTAGCTACTTTTCTTTGTCCATCTTGCCTTCAATATGCTCCAAACCCTCTTTCCTCATTATATGTCCCAGAAATTTCAACTGTCTCTTGATTCTAAATAAAAATGTATTTTTGTTTCTATTTTCTCTAAAACTTCGTCATTGCCCACGTATTCTGTCAGTGCTGTTGGAATTTTTGGGTACCCTGGTGTACTAGTGAGCCAGCCAAAATGAGCTGACTCATTTTATAGTTCACCAATAGAACGGTTAACCAATCAGAAGGCTCAAAATATTCAATGCGACGTGTATAAAGGCAGCCATGTTTTTCCCGAATATGCACTGTCAGCCTTTGATATCGAAGACTGAAGAATTACGGAACAGCTGCTGGTGGTATTGGCGATATAGTCAGATTCAGTAGAGTGTCTGACTCGTGAGTGTTAATCTTTAACGTTGTTTCATTGAACAGATTACGCACTGCGTTGTATTCTATATTCATAGACTACGGTGAACATGGTTAACAAGTGCTATTCTCAGTATCCTTCTATAGAACTACATTTCTGTTGAATCAAGTCTCTTCTTCATCAGTGAGTAAATTATTTAACACTCACTACTATATATTGTTTCTGGTTTCTTGTGTCTTAGTGATTTTGTTGTCTTGCTCGGGGTGATCTCGATTTTTTAAAAAGACAAGTTCTTATACTTTTATATACTTAAATACGGTGATAACGAACAAATAGGGAACGTTTATCAATCTAACATGTTTCGCTTTTATTAATTTTCATCAGAGAATGAGATATGGCGAAAAAGCAAAAAGAAATTCTGGTATTTTTACATTTTTGTTGTTTGATTTTCATTGGTCAATCATGTATCACGTGCAATCGACTCTTTTAAAGCAACGTTAGTAGGATTTGTGACGTTCCGAATTCAAGGACAGACGACGCGCCCTTTCGAAGTCTCAAAAAAATGAATTGATTCCGAACCAACCTGAAAACTGTAAATATTGCTATATGAATTTTCCTGTATAAATTGATTTAGTTTATCTATATAAGAATCAGATGAAAATGTACAATGTTTATGTGAATCGTAACGGGACTGTGTGTGCTGTGTGAGCTCTGGGCAAAAGAAGCTTAAGGAGACTGTGTTATCATCTAACATGGTAGCTTGGGAGTATAGAACTGTAATCTTAGCTTTCTGCAACCATACTGGAACAACAACAATCCGAGCCACAATCCATTATACTATCGTCTCTTCAACAAGGAAAAAGAAGAACGAAATTCTGACATTTTTTACTTTTTTGTTGTTTGATTTTCATTGGTCAATCATGTATCACGTGCAATTGACTCTTTTAAACCAACGTTAGTATAATTGGTGGCGTTTCGTATTCAAGGAGAGACGACCCGTCCTTTCGAAGTTCCAAGTAATTAACGGATTCCAAGCCGACCTGAAAAAAAAAAACGTACATATTGCTTTATGTATTTACACTATTTAAATTGTTCGGACAGTTGGATAAAAGAGTCCGTTGAAGTAATCCAGTGACTTGACTTGAAAAGTTGAATTAAAAAAGAGAAATACTGAGATAGCCAGAAAAAGTATGGCAAACAGAACTAGAACAGTAAACGAAATGAAGGGTTCGGTTGGAAATTCCAACGTATATCACCTGAAGAAGTCCGGAGTGTACAACCGCCGAAACGTCATGAATATGACAATAAAGATGTGGGTAACAGTCCGAACAATGTAAATAGTGTAACTAGTGACAATACCTAATTTCAGAAATATAGGCAAATGTTGCTTTTTATTTATGTATGTGTATAATAATTCTAGTTTGTCGATGTTGGATTCAGATGTATATCGTAAGTTGTGTATGTCTAATAGACAATTTCTTTTCCTTTTGGTTTTTCGCATGCTGATTTAAAGCGAAAAAGTCACAACTGAAGGACAAAAAGAAAATGCAAACGAAAGCGCCAGAACGACACAAAGATCGAATAATAAAACAAAGGGAGATAAGAAAGTAACAACAAAAAAGACGCCATTGTTTGCATGTCGAAAATTAACAGTCATCTCTTTTTGGCTTTGTGTTTGACTATTTGCTTGTTTGTTATTTAATTATTTATTCTTTTTATTTACCATTTAAAGAGATTTGATTTTTGCTTGTGTCCCATTGGTTGTCAGTTTCGTTATTTTTGTTATTTTTTTTTCGGCGTGTTGTCTTGGAAAGCGAATGAATGAAGATTCTGAGATTAATGGAATGGTTAATCGGAACACAGACAGCAGGTAAGTTGAGCGGCAAATGTAGAAAGAGAAGAATAGTTTGATGAAGGCAATAAAATAGAGGAATTGGTAATGAGGACAGGGGACATTAAAAAAGAATGTTACAATACAGACAGAGACAGAGACAGACAGAGAACACAGACGCATTGGACGGAAAAGAATGAGAGATAGATAGATAGATAGATAGATAGATATGAACAGACTATGGTAGCTAGCTAGATAGATATGAATAGACTGTATAGATAGATAGATAGATAGATAGATAGATAGATAGATAGATAGATATGAATAGACTATGGTAGCTAGCTAGATAGATATGAATAGACTGTGTAGATAGATAGATAGATAGATAGATAGATAGATAGATAGATAGATAGATAGATGCAGAAAAATAGGCATACTGATGTGAAAAGAATGCGATACTTATGAATAGACGTAGGTAAATCGACAGACAGACATTTAGACTCAGAGAAAAACAATCGAACAGACAGACGACATTCCTCATCGTCTGAATATAAAACTAGGTCTCTTGTTAACGTCACATTTCGCAGAGGGAAACCTTACCAGTGCGATAACACACTTTCTGCTTTCAGTTGGACTTTGACAGCGTCATTTGCCTTCTTTTGTATGTGCGCGTGCGTATATGTGTATCTACACATATGCACGTGTATGTATGTTAATGTGTACGTGTGTGTAGCATATATTTATAAGTGCATGTATGCGTATGCGCCTATTCGTTGAACCTATATGGATATATATTCCTTTATATGTATATATACATGTGTGTATGCGCCAGTGTGTATATATTTATGTATGTGAATGTGTATGCGTGTTTGCGTATGTAAATATGTGTATGCGTGTGTGCGTTTATGTGCCTGTGTGTATATGTATATTTCTTTGTATTTTTCCTTATCTCTCTCTTTCTCTCTCTCTCTCGTTCTCTTTCTTTCTCTCATTTTCATTCTCTTTTTCTTACTCTCTCTCTTACAGTCTTTCTTTCCCTCATTCTCTTTCTTTCTCCCTTTCTTTCTTTCTCTCTTTTTGCTTACTTGCTTTCACTCGTTCTCTTTCTCTCTTTCTTCATTTCATTCTCTTTCTTTCTTTCTTTCTTTCTTTCTTTCTTTCTTTCTTTTGTTCTCTTTATTTCTTACATTCTCTTTCCCTCTCCTTCTTATCTGGCTTGTTTTTCTTTCGCCTTCATGTTTCCTCTTTTTTTATTCTTCAATGATCCTTTCTTTTCTTCATCTTCCATCTCATCCTCCTCCTTCTTCTCATCCTCCCCCCTCCTTCTCATCTTCCCTCTCCTTCTCATCTTTCCTCTCCTTCTCATCCTCCCCCTCCTTCTCATCTTCCCCCTCCTTCACATCTTCCTCTCCTTCTCATCTCCCCCTCCTTCTCATCCTCCCACTCCTTCTCATTCTCCCCTTCTTCTTATCCTCCCTCCTCATTTTCCCTCTCCTTCTTAGCTTTTCCTCTCCTTCTTATCTTTCCTCTCCATCTCATCCCTATCCTCCCCTCCTTCTTATCCTCCCCTTCTTCTCATCCCCCTCCTCATCTTCCTCTCCTTCTTACCTTTTTATCTCCTTCTTCTCATCCCCCTCGTCATCTTCTTCTCATCCCCCCTCCTTCTCATCCTCCCCTCCTTCTCATCTTCCCTCTCCTTCTCATTCTCCCTCTTCTTCTCATCCTCCCCCTCCTCATTTCCCTCTCCTTCTTATCTTTCCCCTCCTTCTCATCCTATCCTCCCCTCCTTCTTATCCTCCCCCTTCTTCTCATCCCCCTCCTCATCTTTCCTCTCCTTCTTAGCTTTCCTCTCCTTCTTCTCATCCCCTCGTCATCTTCCCTCTCCTTCTTAGCTTTCCTCTCCTTCTCATCCTCCCCTCCTTCTCATCCTCCCCTCCTTCTCATCCTCCCCCTCCTTCTCATCCTCACCCTCCTTCTCATCTTCTCTCTCCTTCTCATCCTCCCCACCTTCTCATCTGGCTTGTTTTTCTTTCGCTTTCATTTTCCGCTTCCTCCTCCTTTTTCCTCCTCCTTCTTCAGCGATTCACTCCATTCTTTCTCTTCTTTTTACTCTTCTGAGTTGTTTTTCCTTCTCTTTCCTCTCCCTCCTCCTCTTAGGCTTACGGCCACATCACGTTGAAATACCGGTTCCCGTATCACCAGCGAAGTTAAGCAACGTCGAACCTGGTCAGTATCTATATGGATAACCACTTGGGAATACCAGATGCTATAAGATTGTATGTGCGACTGGTGTAATTGATAATGGCTACGAATTGGCAACCAGATGGCCGATTATCAATTCTCGTTGGGTACGTTTATATTCACTTACGCACAAATACCCTTGAGAAAGCTATGAATCCATCTCTTCTCCCCCAGCTATGGGTTAATTAGGAAGACATATCCCTCAGGAAAAAAAACAAAACAAAACTCTTATAATGTAGAAACCATTTTCTGGTTTTAAATAACCTTCAAAGGGTTCATAAACTAAACAAAAAAACTCCGCTTTTTCCTTTTTTTCTTTCCTCTTTTTCTTCATTTTTCTCCTCCAACGAACATCTCCCTTTCTATTCATCTTCCTATACCTCGTTTCCTCTTCCTCTTTCTTTTTACTCCCCCCCCTACTCTATCAGCGATTTCTTCCCTTCCTCTTTCTCCGCTAGTTGGATTCTTCTTTTCCGTCCTTTTCTTCTTCCGCCTTTATCATTTCAATAACCGGTTTCACAGACTTAAAACGAAAAATAATTAGTGAATAAAATCTCAGAGTTCAGGCGGAGGAAGTAGGAGTATAGAGTTGAAGTAGACTTTTGAAAGGGACCGGAAGCCCAATCCTAAACAGGAAACAAAGGAATAAACCTCTTCTTCTGTTCAAAAGACTGGGGAGAAGTGTGAACCGTACGATAGGTAAGCCTATCTACTCCTTTTGAGAAAAAAATATAAGTGAATAAAATTTAAGAGTTTAAATACGTTAGAAATATAATTGAATAAAGTAGACTTTAGAAAGAACCGAAAAACTAAATCCTTAACAGGAAACAAGGGATAAACCTCTACTCCTGTCCAAAAGACCAAATGATAGGCGAATATATCTACTGTAATCAATATAGAGTAATTATGAGGGGGTGGTCATTTTATTACTAGTAATAGAAAATCAGTCCTCTGCCTTTTTATGCTCAAGATAAGCCTATATTAATATGCTTGATTATGTTAATTCATTGGGCATTTATTGACCAATCAGTTAATCAAACTCTCATTTGAAATGATTCCACTGCTTTTCCCTCTTCCTAGTATCAGTAGGAGTTTCCTTTCAAGCCTTTTGCGTTGAGTCGTGTGGAAAGTTAACATTTGATTATAATGTCACTAAGATGCAAGGGGTTACTGGGGGTGAAAGAGAATGACAAGACCTTAAGCAGGAAACAAGGGATAAACATATACTCTTGTCTAAAAAAAACTGGGGGGGGGAACGGACGTTAGGCAAACATATCTATTCCTATTAAGTGAATAAAATTTAAGAGTTTAGGTAAATGCGTTAGCTATATAATTAAATGAAGTAAGCTTTAGAAAGAAGCGAAAACCCCAATCCTAAACAGGAAACAAAGGATAAACTGCTACTCCTGTTCAAAAGACCGAGGAGGAATGTGAAACGGACAATAGGCGAACCTAGAGGGTGGCGATTGTCATCCTTAAAGTGGACTTTGTGGACACTTTTGAAAAGTAAAAGGTACACTGAGCTATGATAGTGTGTTCTGGTGAAAAAGACAATTTTCCCTTTGATCCAAGTAAACTATATCTTCTGTCAAATTTAATGGCTTTATATTTCTGAACAAAACATATATATTTCTGCATTAATAAATGTTGCAGATTATTCACACAAGAAAATATCAGATGTCTTAATCGAATTTAATGTCCATCAAGAACCTTTGATCTTAAAGGAGTTTATCTGTGGTGACCTTGGTACCTAAGAGATGACAATGTAAGCCTTGTATTGGGTGTCATTTCCGAAAGTCAAAAAAGGCAGGTGCAAGAAAGTACATCATAGTCACGAAGTGCATAATCGGGCCTCAAAGAAGTTCTGTCGGTTTCCCGATATGAAACAAAAAAGTATATAAACACACAAGACAACCAGATAACAGGAAGTTATATAATTACTCAAGAAAGTTTGACTACGATCAAGTACGACTGAGTAGAGAGTTCGACCCTCACTTGCCCCACCCCTACTTTCGGCCCTGTGCCACATCTAAGCTATGCTTGGAAAATCGCTATAATTGCCCGACAAGCGAGAACTCCCTCACAAATCTAGTAAGAAGAAGATCGAACGTTTGAAGTAAGTCCCTGAAACCTCATACCTTTTGATTAGCCGACGTCAATTTGACGGAGGCCGGAAATGATTAAACAATTATATTACGTGTTTCATAGACCACGCATAAAGTATTTGATAATGTCCGACACAGTGATCTATTTGAACTGATATGAAAACTTTATTTATTTGGTAAGTATATTAAAATAATCTGGAATATTTACTGGGAGCAAACCACCTGCATAGAGATAGAAAATTTAGTTAGCAATTACAGAATAAGAGAAAAGTGCGTAAGACAAGAATCTCTTTGCTCACCAGGTTAATTCAGGCTTTGTAGCGATATGATAATAACAGAACTAAAAAAGCCTACCAGAATTTATTATTGCTGATCTTAACTATATATGATAAGCAGATGACACCGTGTTGCTGAAAGATATGGAAATAAACTACAATAACTCTTGGGCAAGTAATATAAAGAAAAGCAGATAGAAAAGACGAAACATTAATTGTTAAATGGCACACTGCATAATCGTTGCCAAGAAATCTGATCTAGCATCTCGACTACAATCACTTTTCAACGACATGTCGTGGCTTCTCTCTGTCTTTTCTATAAATATTTTTATGGCAACTGTTCTGATAAGCTTTCTTTTCTTAGTGCCTCGACAACATAAATTTAAGCGCACTACTAGATTGGCAATTAGGTCTCATTATTTTACCGTTGAATCAGCTAGACGCAACCGCTACTTCTACTCAAGAGCTTCATTTCTCGCACTTCGTATCTGTTGAACTCCCTTCCAATTTCTTGCTTCCCTGCCAACTACAATCTTCCAAAATTTAAATGTAATGTTTATCGTCATCTTCCGTCTTCCCGAACTCTGTACATTTATTGTCCTTTCTTAACTTCTCCACACTAAAGTCTTCTAATCCTCTTTCGCCGCTGTAACCCATTGCGTCCTAGTGTTATTATCGCCTTGCTTGGGGAGAAGTGATTAAGAACAGCCCAAGATGCAAACTACAAACTGGAGATGTCAAAATCAAGCAAGTGCAGAAATTAATAGTGTTTAGCAGGCAACGGGAAAAGTGACACCGAAATCCGAAGGGATACTAGAATAGCAAACGTTGTCTACCAAAAGCTAAGTAAAGTATTAAGAAACAGGAAAATTTCGTTAGAAACAAAGAATAATATGTAATATCAGTCCTCCAATATGGCGACGAATACTGGATGTTGAGAATACAATCGGTGGAGTGCGTAAGCACTGAGGAAGGTTTAAGGAAAATGGAGACAAAAAAGACACTTATACTTAGAATCAGAAAGAGACAAGCATCAGTGATGTGGTTCTACAGAAGAAGGCTGAGAATACCATGGACGGAGCATGTGAGCAATGAGGAAGTTTTAATGAAAATGGAAACAAAAAGGACACTTATACTTAGAATCAGAAAGAGACAAGTATCAGAGATGTTCTATAGAAGAAGCCTGAGAATACCATGGATGGAGCATGTGAGCAATGAGGAAGTTTTAAGGAAAACGTAAACAAAAAAGACACATACTTAGAATGAGAAAGAGACAAGCATCAGAGATGTGGTTCTACAGAAGAAGACTGAGAATACCATGGACGGAGCATGTGAGCAATGAGGAAGTTTTAATGAAAATGGAAACAAAAAGGACACTTATACTTAGAATCAGAAAGAGACAAGCATCAGAGATGTGGTTCTACAGAAGAAGACTGAGAATACCATGGACGGAGCATGTGAGCAATGAGGAAGTTTTAAGGAAAATGGAAACAAAAAGGACACTTATACTTAGAATCAGAAAGAGACAAGCATCAGAGATGTGGTTCTACAGAAGAAGACTGAGAATACCATGGACGGAGCATGTGAGCAATGAGGAAGTTTTAAGGAAAATGGAAACAAAAAGGACACTTATACTTAGAATCAGAAAGAGACAAGCATCAGAGATGTTGTTCTATAGAAGAAGCCTGAGAATACCATGGACGGTGCATGTGAGCAATGAAGAAATTTTAAGGAAAATGGAAAAAAAAAAGAACACATATACTTAGAAACAGAAAGAGACAAGCATCAGAGATGTGGTTCTACAGAATAAGGCTGAGAATACCATTGATGGATCATGTGAGCAATGAGGAAGTTTTAAGGAAAATGGAAACAAAAAGGACATTTATACTTAGAATCAGAAAGAGACAAGCATCAGAGATGTGGTTCTACAGAAGAAGCCTGAGAATACCATGGACAGAACATGTGATCAGTGATGAAGTTTTAAGGAAAATGGCAACAAATAGGACACTTAGAATCAGAAAGAGACAAGCATCAGAGATGTGATTCTAAAGAAGAAGGCTGAGAATACTGTGGATGGAGCATGTGAGCAATGAGGAAGTTTTAAGAAAAATGGAAACAAAATGAAAGCTTATCCTTGAATCAGAACGACACCGTTGGCAATTTTAGAACGTATACCGAGGAAAGTAGTCTTGGAAAACTTGACACTCAAAGGCATACTGAAGGCAAGAGGATCAAAGTTAAATGTCGACTAACCTGACCTAACTGTGCCTGTGTAAAGTGGTGAACAAGGAATGGGGGGTAAAGTAAAAAAAAACATTCATTACTTCGTGCTACAATGGATGGTGACTTGTGGAGAGCCATGATCACCCACGCTTTAAAGGGGTACGACACATTCTAAAAAGATTTTTATCAAACATTACTAACATGGCATTCTTCGTCTCTTACGTGCCCTGTCCTTTCGGAACGTGGACGATCAAGGCTCTCCACTAGTTCCTGTCGTAAGTAATTTTATTCTTCTCGCTATCACTCCTAATCTCTTTCTCTGCTGTTCTTTGTCTTTTCACACCAGGCAAGGCGATAGAGCCACTAAGGCACTGAGAGGGAAAGAAAACGTTATTGAGGAGAGAGGTCAATAAATGAACAGGATTCTAAGAGCCAGCTTCTTTACGTTTTACACTTTTCGTCGCAATTCTACCCTTTCGAAGCATATTGAGTCGCTCTTTTATTTCTCTCTCGACCTCCCTTTCTCTCTCTCTCTCTTTCTCTCTCTCTCTCTTTCTCTCTCTCTCTCTCTCACACACACACAAACGCACACACACACACATACACACATGCACCCCTCCATCTCTCTGTTTATTGTCTTTTCTTCCTTCCCCTCACCTCCTCTCCCAATCTATCTATCTATCTATCTATCTATCTATCTATCTATCTATCTATCTATCTATCTATTGCTTCTGTATTTCTCCATCTTTTCTTTTTATATCTTTCTCTCTCTTTCTCTCACACACAAACATTCTCTCTGTGCAAATATCACCTTTTCATTAACTGCTCCCCATATCTCTCTCTTACTTCATTGTTTTACATCTTCTCTCTCTATCTCTCTTTCTCACTCCGTCTTCTTTCTATCTACCACCTCGTTCTCTATTGCTTATCCTTCTCTTTTTTCCATTTTCTCTTTCTTCCTCTCTCTCTCTCTCTCACTTTGTTACACTGTTGATAAACTTCTCTTTCCTTCATCAGCTCTCTTAATCTATCTCCTTCTCTTCTATTTCTTCCTCTTCTCTTTTTATGTCTTCTATCTCTCTCTCTTTCTCCCCCTCTCTATATCTCTATGCTACTCTTTTAATCACCTTTCCTTTCTTTTCCTCATCGTTCCTCTCAATCTCTTTATTTATCTTTTTTCCTTCTTTATTTCTCCCTCTTCATGTTTTACGTCTTCTCTTTCTCTCCCCCCTCTCTCTTATTTGTATGTTCTCTCATCTTTTTTCTCTTATATCTGGCTACTGCAACATTTTTCACAACTTCCGCTCCCATTTCTCTCTTTCTCTTTCTCCCTCTATGTCTCTTTTCAATGTTTGAAAAGCCTTCTTTCTATACGTTTTTTCTACTTTCTTTTTCTCTTCCTCTCCCCCTCTTTCTTTCTCTCTTTCTCTCTCTCTCTCTCTATCTCTTTCTCTCTCTCTCTCTTTCTCTTCCTCTTCCTTTTTCTAATCTTTATCGTCTTTTATTAACACATACAGAAACACCAAATGCCAGCGATGACCCTCTGATCAATAAATTCACGGTCCATTCCCACATCAGAATACAATCCCAGCATCCCAAGCGTCGACGCCATCTTTTGACTGTCTGAACTTTACCCGACATTTTCCACGCACACACACACACACACACACACACACACACACACTTTGTCCGACACTCCTCCCGCTCTCGCTCGTTCTCAGCAGTCATGTGACTGAAGCGAGTTTTTCCGCCCTTTGGCTGTTGACGCAATCTACGCAGCAGAGAGATCAATAAACTCCACTGACACAAAATGTCAACACAAAGTACATCGCTACAAGTTTTAATAACATGTCTGTGGGCAACCTAATAATACTTGTGAACCTGATTTAACAAATGTACTCTCCGACCGTCAGTGGATGAATTCAAAATATTATGTAATGCTATTCGCAAGCTCTCCGTTCCGTTATTATAGCAAATGCTACTGATGCAGCATTAATCTGCTAAGTAACGTTAAACTAATACTAATGGCTAATCTGTCTTCAACGTTTATCATTTGTAGTAGTGAATTAACTGAGAAGTGTTCCTTTTAAGAATGGCAGGATATTCATATCGTGAGCAGGCAGATATGATTTTTACATATGGCGGCTCGAATGGTAATGGATGCGAGACTGCACGACCGTTTCCTGGCCGAAGGCAGCAGAGTCATCCAACGTTTGCTGCTGTTTATCCTCGCGTTGCTTAGACAACATCTGACGGCTTCATGCGTGTGTAGAAGCAAGCGTAGGACCTTTTGAACATTTATTGCTGCGTTGAGGTACAACGATGGCCTTTTGAACATATGGACATTTAATATTCTATTAGTGTCAGGAACCCGCCCCGAAAGTTTATAAAACTATTTTTATACATATATATATATATATATATATATATATATATATATATATATATATATATATATTATAAATTAATTGATTTAAAATATGTTTTTTTTTCGCTACACAGTTCCAACCATGTTTCAAAAATAGAAGCTAAAACCCTGAATTTAATTTTGCAATTAAATTAAAAGCATTAGTTCCATTTCATCTTCAAGCGAATTTTGGAGTAACTTTTTTAAAATTACCGGGTTTTAAAGACACAGCTAAAATCACGTTTCCATGGTTACAGAATATTAATGCTCTGTAAATTTACATTAAGCACTATTTTGTAAAAATAAAAATATCTATAAGAACACGGATTTTATATCTTACTGTTGTCTTTATGTATATTATATATATATATATATATATATATATATATATATATATATATAAGTAATTGTACTGTCCGGAAAAACCATAGGTATTTTGGCTTGTAAATGAACAAACCAATACCCAAGGAAAAATAAGGGATAAAAAAAAGAAAGAACTAAGAACATGTAAATGAGGCGAAAGCAATTGTCCAAAACCGCCAAAACAAGTAAAAGCAAAAGTAACTATATATATATATATATATATATATATATATATATATATATATATATATATATATATAAAGAAAAAAGTATAAAATTTAATATTACGAGACATATTAAAAAAAAAAAAAAAAAACGGGTGAAGCAACCGGTTTCGCTCCCGCTCTTCAGGCTTCAACGGGAGATTTAATTTAAAATTAACACAGAAAAATGTACAATAAAAGGAATTGTGAAAAAAATGAAAAGGAACTAGAGACAAATGGATGGACTCGTCCCGAACACCTATAGTTCCGCCATATGCGAACACCTATTAAAGAAAAGAGATTGTGCAGCCAAATTTAGTGTCGACTGGTTCAGTTTGAAGTCGGACGTCCGGCTGACTGGCTGATCGGCTGAACGGTTGAACTCTCTGCCTTCGGACGGGGAGGAACCCGAACGAGGCTACGCCGAAGGGCGGAGCCTCTTTCGGAGAGGTAAACCGACCCTGAACCCATTTATACGGTTCAAAGGGCATATTTTTGGCCGAGCCTACGGGCTCGGAGATCCCACGTTACCGGCCTTGTGCCACATGATGCCCTCGTGGGGCGGGGGTGACTAAATACTAGTGATGACTGGTTCACCGTGTTGTCCCGGTCTCACTCCTTATTTCATCTAAATGTTCTGGAGGCACTTTACATCGGGTCCCGCAAGCCTTCTTTGTGCAAACAACGTGAGAGTTTGTTGGGACTCGCTATCATTTGTCTCTAGTTCCTTTTCATTTTTTTTTTTTTACAATTCTTTTTATTGTAAATTTTTCTGTGTTAATTTTAAATCTCCCATTGAAGCCTGAAGAGCGGGAGCGAAACCGGTTGCTTCGCACTTTATTTTTTTTTTTTTTTAATATGTCTCGTAATATTAAATTTTATACTTTTATTTCGATCATTAAATTTTGTACCTACAAAAAAAATATTTTATATATATATATATATATATATATATATATATATATATATATATTACTTAAACGTTATTTTTAGTGGTTTGGTTTGCTTTGTTTTACGGCATATGAACCTCGACGCCGACAAAATTTTTATTGCTGCTAATGTTTTTCTTCAAAAGTCTATTTCTGGGAATATTTTTCCTTGAAGAAATCTATGGCTGGTCATATTTTTTCAAATAATGTATAGGTATCTGTATTGCTAGTACTTTTTTAAGTATTGCTTATAATAATTTTTCCTTCGAAAATTATTGCTGGTAATATTTTTTTTCTTACAAAGTATTTCTGGTATTAAAACCTATTTCTACACAAGTTTTGGTGTCAACTATTTGCCCATAGCTGCAACCCCTGACCCGGGTGGACCTGGGAACACCAGCAATTAAGACGTGGTTCCACGCTCCTCAAAACCTCCTGATCAGAGGCCTTGCCATTGAACGTAGTTTATCGTCTTACCCAGGACGCGGATGTAGTTTATCGTCACACCCAGGACGGTATTTTTAGTGGATACTCATATTTGACTAGAAGCTCCATTTATTTATTAAACAGTTCATTTATTTATTTTCGTCTACTGGCCAGAATGTTCGAGAAGAATGTTTTTTCATTTGTTGAAGAAAAATATGCATGATTTCTCTAACATTCAGGCCGGTAGACGAAAATAAATAAATATTCTGTTTAATAAATAAACCGGGCGTCTACTCAAATATGGGTATCCACTAAAATGAATGTTTAAGAAATAAAATCTGTCAAATTAATAGATAAAAATCCATCACTTATATTATATATATATATATATATATATATATATATATATATATATATATATATTGAACAATAAAAAAATATTAAAATTAAAATCTTCAGACACACTGGGTTGTGGATTAATATTCTTTCGTTTTTTTTATTATTATTTCATTTAGATTCCCTTTATATATATATATATATATATATATATATATATATATATATATATTAATTAAAATAATTATATTGAAATTTTCGGCTCTTGTTTTGAAACATGAGAACTCTTATGTAGCGTTGGAATCATATTTTTAAATAAATAATTATATTTATGCTCTACTTTTGTATCGAGCACTATTTTTTAAAAATAATAACAAAAATAATAAAGAACTTTGGATTATTTACCTAACGAGTTCTTTCCTATTTTCTATATATTTTACACACACACACACACACACACACACACACACACACACACATATATATATATATATATATATATATATATATATATATATAAATGTAATAAGAACAAATCAAATATAAACTCAAACGTTCATAACATTAATTTAAAAAGGGCTCAATACAAAAGTAGGTAGAGTTATAATTCTTTAATATACATTCGAAAATATATATTTCCGCTACAAAAATGCATTAATGTTTCGATACAACATGGCATCTCACCAGGCGGTGGTATAAATATATACATATTTATATAACGCAACGCTTTTCATTCAAAATGAATTGAGCACTATGGCTGTCTGGCGTTTGTTTACATTCGTAAAAAAATAATATGCTAGAATTTCCATAGCTTAAGGTGTAAAAATTCCGACTGATATATAGCAGTAGAAATCTACACCATTATCTTTCCCAAGAACAGTTAGTGCTATGCGCTATTTACGGATTTTAAAAGAATGGAAGATATGGAGTGCCATGATCACCAACGGTCTGTTAAGGGTGAGTTCTATTCTCACGGATGCGAATGTAGTCTTACATCAGTTTAACTGGCACTTCGTTTAATAAGCTTTCTTCTCAGCCTGTGAAAATCCTTTGTTGGACGTAGACCTTCCCCAGATTCCGCTGCGATGTGCACCATTACCCTACCGCGCCGGCCCCAATGCGTGTTGTTAGGGGCGGATGTGACCCACGTGTACGATCACCTTTTCGATTCATGATAACCCAATATAATTTGCGAATAATTGAGTATGACGAGCCCGACTGGAATTCAACCTTGGCTCTCCGATTTACTATTCCATTGTCTCTTACAATAGCCACACGTCCAAGCTTACAGCACCAGGTATTCTCAACCCGTCACCTATTCAGGTAATGACCATGTTCAATGTTACTTAACTTCGGTGATCGGACAAGAACCCCATTAAGTTTAAATAAGTCAACGTCATATATGGTCTAGTCCACCTTCTGTTTACCTCGGAGTTCTTGACAAGATCCAGAGACGGATATGTAATATAATTGGCCCTGATCTGGCATCTCGTCTACAGTCGCTCTCTCACAGACGCGCCATTGCCTCTCTCTGTCTTTTTTACAAATACTTTCTTGATAATTGCTCCGAGGAGCTGCTTTCACTAGTTCGCAGACTCTATGAATTCAAGCACCCTACGAGGCTGGCATCCCGCTCTCACCCTTACACTGTAGAAACTTTTAAATGTAGCCGTCTCTTCTACTCCAATAGCTTCATACCTCGCACCTCTCGCGTGTGGAACACCCTTCCCAATTACTCTTTCCCTGAGAGTTATAATCTCCAACTATTCAAATGTAATGTCAATCGACATCTCCAGTTACCTTGATCTATCTACTATCCCTCTCCTCATCCTTTCTTCTATCAC